TCTGATGAGCGTCGGCCGCAATGCGGCGCCCTAACCCGGCGTTCGGTTCATCCCGCAGCGCCAGTCCTGCTTACCAAGAATGGCCCACTGGGCGCCCGTGCATTGTGGGCCCGGCCCCGAGCCGGCGGGTCGGGCCCCGCACCAATTTAAAGTTTGAGAATAGGTTGAGGTCGTTTCGGCCCCAAGGCCTCTAATCATTCGCTTTACCGGATGCAACTGCTCTCTCTCTCTCTCTCCCGGGCGCCAGCTATCCTGAGGGAAACTTCGGAGGGAACCAGCTACTAGACGGTTCGATTAGTCTTTCGCCCCTATACCCAAGTCGGACGATCGATTTGCACGTCAGAATCGCTGCGGACCTCCACCAGAGTTTCCTCTGGCTTCGTCCTGCTCGGGCATAGTTCACCATCTTTCGGGTCCTAGCGTGCCCGCTCTTCCTCCGCCGCAGCCGCGCTGGGCTGGCGGCGGGGCGGCGGTGCGCCGGCCGCCGCGCGGCCGGATCCCGCCTCGGCCGGGCCCTGGCCGGCCTTCACTCTCGTTGCGCCTCGGGGCTTCGCCTGGCGGCCCCCCGACTCGCGGGCCCGATAGACTCCTTGGTCCGTGTTTCAAGACGGGTCGGCAGGGCTCGCGACAATCGCCCGCGGACCCGGGGCGCCTCGGCGCGGCCGACACCGGCCCGGCCGGGGACCGCCGGCCCGCCGCCACCGGGGACGGTCGCGGCGGGCGGGGCCCTCCGGCGGGCCGGGCGGCCCGGCCCGGCGGCCGCCGCCGGGGAGGCGGCGGCGCGCGGGCGGGCGCGGCCCGTCGTCCCTTCCTCGGCCGGGCGGCCGGCGCGACCACGGCCGGTCTCTAGGCTCTCCGACCGGCCCCCCCGTCGGGGGACCGGGGTGGCCGGAGNTAACCCTAACCCTCTCCATAACCTCAACCCTATTCTCATAACATTCCCCTAACCCTAACCCCAACCCTAACCTTACTCCTGTCCATAACCCTAACCCTATCCCTAGCCCTACCCCTAACCCTATCTGTAACCCTAACCCTAACCGTATTTGTAACCCTAAGCGTATCGTTAACCCCAACCCTATTATCATAACCCTACCCCTAACCCTGACCCTATCCATCACCTCAACCCTATTCTCAAAACCCTACCCTTAACCCTACCCCTACCCATAACCCTAACCCTAACCCTACCCCTAACCGTATTTGTAACCCTAAGCGTATCGCTAACCCCAACCATACTATCATAACCCTACCCCTTGCCCTAACACTTACTCAAACACTACCCTAGCCCGAACCACAAACCTATGTGTGCCTTACCCTAACCACAACCCCAATCCTAACCCTTACCATATCCTTAACCCTACCCCTAACCCTATCTGTAACTCTAACCCTACCCCTAACCCCAACCTTCTTATCATTACCCTAACCCTAACCCTTTAAACCTAACCCTAACCATAACCCAAACCCTATTGCTAACCCCAACCCTACTATCATAACCCTACCTCTAACCCTAACCCTATCTCTAACCCTAACCCTACCAATAACCCTATCTGTAACCCTAACCCCATCCCTATTATCATAACCCTACCTTTAACCCTAACCCTAACCCAAACCCTATCCCTAACCCTAACCCTACCCATAACCCTAACCCTACCCCTAACTGTATCTGTAACCTTAACCTTATCAATAACAAAAACCCTACTATCATAAGCCTACCCCTAACTCTAACACTTACTCAAACACTACAATAGCCAAAACCACAAACCTATGTATCACTAACCCTAACCAAAACCCCAATCCTAACCCTTAACCTAACCCTTACCCTACCTCTAACCGTATTTGTAACCCTAACCCTACCCCTACCCATAACCCTTACCCTACCCGTAACCCTAACCCCAACCTTAACCCTACCCCTACCCATAACCCTAACCCTAACCATATCCCTAACCCTACCCCTAACCGTATCTGTAACCCTAACCCTATCACTAACCCCAACCATCTTATCATTACCCTAACCCTAACCCTCTAACCCTAACCATAACCCAAACCCTATCGATAACCCCAACCATACTATCATAACCCTAACCCTAAACCTAACCCTATCTCTAACCCTAACCCTACCAATAACCCTATCTGTAACCCTGACCCTAACCCCATCCCTATTATCATAACCCTACCTTTAACCCTAACCCTAACCCAAACCCTATCCCTAACCCTACCCCTACCCATAACCCTAACCCTATCCCTAACCCTAACCCTACCCCTAACCGTATCTGTAACCCTAACCCTATCAATAACAAAAACCCTACTATCATAAGCCTACCCCTAGCTCTAACACTTACTCAAACACTACCCTAGCCAAAACCACAAACCTATGTATCACTAACCCTAACCACAACCCCAATCCTAACCCTTAACCTAACCCTAACCGTATTTTTAACCTTAACCCTAACCCTACCCATAACCCTTACCTTATATCTAACCCCAACCCTTACCCTACCCCTACCCATAACCCTAACCATATCCCTAACCCTACCCCTAACCGTATCTGTAACCCTAACCCTATCACTAACCCCAACCATCTTATCATAACCCTAACCCTAACCATAACCCCAACCCTATCGCTAACCCAAACCCTACTATCATAACCCTCNCCCTAACCCTAACCCCAACCCTATCCCTACCCCTAACCCTAACCCCAATCCTAACCCCAACCATAACCCTAACCCTACCCTTACCCATAACCCTAACCCTATCCCTAACCCTACCCCTAACCGTATCTGTAACCCCTAAACCTAACCCTAACCGTATTTGTAACCCTAAGCGTATCGCTAACCCCAACCCTTTTATCACAACCTTACCTTTGACTGTAAAGTGCATTTGGAATGGAACATGAGCATGTTACTTACGTCTCTGATGATACTCTTCACAGGGAGGTACTGGATGTCTTACGAAACGTTCATCCACCCAGATATCACGCCCAGTATCCAATAAAACTCACTAGGTATGACCATTCTTCATATTTGACTACTTTAGCTGCACACCATCTTCCAAACTCATCGAATGCCTGGACACGTTTTCCAACTGAGAATTTTCCTGTCATTTTGCCTTCTTTAGAAACTGAACATTTTGAGAATTGCACCGTGACTGTAAAATGATGGATGATGAAGATTAGGAAATCACCTTAACCTTGCCCTTATATGGCAGCCAATTTATTTGGAGACTCCATCATGAAAGAAAAAAAAGGCCCCAGAATATTTCATTTTAACTGATGACATAATTATCTCATTGATATTCTGTTTGTAAATGATTGTTACTTTGTCACAAATTGTTTTTTATACGTGCACCCAACATTTTATATAGATTATAAATGTACTTGACAATGAACTCTAAATTTCTGTTTTTTGATTTTCATATCACGAAGCAGCATCAAGCCAGTGATCAATCCAGCAATGAATGACCACAACCAGCGAAGGATGACACAAATCTGTCATTCACTTTGTACCAAGGACTGGTACCTCTAGCAGAGGTCAAAAGCATAGGACTACTGGTTTATCACCACAAGGGGGCAATAAAATTGTCCAATGCGGAAAGCTGTCATTTCAGAATGGATGTTTCCTTTCCGAGTCAGAGAGGTCTAACTCAGATTCGTTTAAATGGGAGAAATTCGTAACCCCAACGAGAAACGCTCCTGCGAGCTAGGGTGCCTCACCGACGCGTTCACGGGTGGGGCCGAGTCGGTTTTTGCGCCCGAGTCCAAGCGTAGCTGGAGATGCGACCTTTCGTGGTCAACGACGTCCGAGGAAGAAATCTTCAGCGGGCGCCCACGTCACGCTTCCCGTCCGGCACCCACGGCGGGATCGACGCCGCCCGCTGCGAGATGCCGCCCTCGGGCTGGAAGCCATGGTTCATCCGTGCCGAACAGCTGATCGCACGATTGCATAGGGACCGACTTGGCAACTCCCCGAGAGCCTTCCTGCGGGGTACGCTATTAACCGTGGATTTCAAGTCAGTTAGGGGCGGCCGTATCAGACATGCAGCCCAGCAGCCAATCCTCGGCCACCGGGGAAGTGTTGGTTCACTCCGCCGTCAGGTCCAGTATGCCCTCCTCCGGCTGCGCCCGCTCCTCCGCCGAGTCCCGCCGGGCCCGCCGCTGGTCCTCCCCGGTCTCCTCCTCCAAGTCCGGTCCGCCCGAGGGCCACCGGGCGGTGTTGGCTGGCCCTCCCCGCTCCACTTCCTCTCCCTGCTGCTGGACCCCACCACCCCCGCCTCCCTGCCACCCGAGTGGCGGCGCCCCTCTCCAAGAAGCTGCTCCCGCGGCGGCGACGCTGCCTCCTCCACGGCACGTCGTCCGACCCGGCCCACCAGGATCGGCCCGTCTGCGGCGCGGGCAAATCCCTCGGATCGAAGGTTAGTTTCAGCAGATCAAAGCGAAGCGGCTGCTCTACTGGGCACGACACCCCTGATTCATACCCAAGTCGTCTGCAAGTGATCTGGCGTCCCTCTCGAGACGGCGGTTCGGCTTCAGCCGGAGCTCCCCCCCCCAGTCAAGAGTGGGAGGGTGCTGACGCTGGCTGCCCTCGGGCAGGACGCCGGCGGCGTTGCCGCGCACCGGCAGAGATTTCGACTTAAAGGCGTTCAGCCGTAATCTTTCGGGTGGTAGCCTCGCACCACCAGCCTCTCGACCGAGCGCCTGAACCAGGGTCCGAATCTGCGGTTCCTCTCGTTCTAAGCAGTATTGCCGTGCCGGCGACCTCTCATCAGTAGGGTAAAACTAACCTGTCTCACGACGGTCTAATAGGATAGGTCACGCTTTGATGGCCCGTATTCATACTGGAAATCAAAAGAGCTTTTGCCGTTTTGCTCCGCGCAAGGTTTCTGTCCTCGCTGAGCTCGCCTAAGGACACCTGCGTTACCGCCCCAGTCAAACTCCCCGCCTGAAGCTGTCACCGGGTGGCCAGAAGACTGGGCCCGCGCCCCGCCTCGCCAGCTAAGTAAAGAAACGACGAGAGTAGTGGTATTTCACCGTCGGGCCGGGGCCCTCCCACCTATCCTACACCCCCGTGTCTCTTCACAAGGTCAGACTAGAGTCAAGCTCATCAGGGTCTTCTTTCCCCGCCCGTTCCCTTGGCTGTGGTTTCGCTAGATAGTAGATAGGGACAGTGGGATAACCTCTCGATAACCGTGCCGATGGCCCGGGCGCGGAGCATCTAGCTTCTTTTCGGCAATCCGAAAAAAACCACCGGCGGGAGCCGGGCCGAGCGGTGACCGGTCGCCTCTTGCGCGGCGGCCCCCTTCCCCAGGGGGGGGCCGCTCCGACTGCGTCTCACCAATCCCCCCGGTCCATTCGAGGCCGAGCCCCGGCGTCCTGGGGCCCCGGCGAGCGCCGGGAGTCCCGCGCCCACACGGCGCGGGCCACTCCCGCCTACACCCGGAAGACAGCACGGTGGCCGGCCCTCCCCGCCTCGGCGGACGGAAGGGGACCGGCCGGGCACGCTCTCTCTGCTCGGTAATGATCCTTCCGCAGGTTCATCTACGGAAACCTTGTTACGGCTTTTACTTCCTCTAAATCATCAAGTTCGATTGTCTTCTGGGCGCACGAGCGAGGCGCCGGGGCGCCCCGCTGCGGCCCGTCCGAGGATCTCACTAAACCATTCAATCGGTAGTAGCGACGGGCGGTGTGTACAAAGGGCAGGGACGTAATCAACGCGAGCTGATGACTCGCGCTTACTGGGAATTCCTCGTTCAAGGGAGACAATTGCAACTCCCTATCCCAAGCACGAATGAGGTTCAACGGATTGCCCAGACCTTCCGGCCAAGGGCGGCTATCCGCTGATCCCTTCAGTGTAGTGTGCGTGCGGCCCCGAACATCTAAGGGCATCACAGACCTGTTATTGCTCAATCTCGCGTGGCTAAACGCCACTTGTCCCTCTAAGAAGTCAGCGCCCGGCGCGGCGTCCGGCGCGACTATTTAGCAAGCCAGAGTCTCGTTCGTTATCGAAATTAACCAGACAAATCGCTCCACCAACTAAGAACGGCCATGCACCACCACTCACACAATCAAGAAAGAGCTCTCAATCTGTCAATCCTCACTGTGTCCGGGCCGGGTGAGTTTTCTTTGGCTTCCCGCAGACTGCCCGCCGCGTCATTGGAGTAACGCCGGCGGATCGCCAGTCGGCATCGTTTATGGTTAGAACTAGGACGGTATCTGATCACCTTCGAACCTGTAACTTTCGTTCTTGATTAATGAAAACATTCTTGGCAAATGCTTTCGCAGTCGGTCGTCTTTCGGCGATCCAAGAATTTCACCTCTCACACCGCAATACGAATGCCCCCGTCAGTCCTTCTTTAGCATTACCTCGAGTTCCGAAAACCAACGCAATAGAACCGAGGTCCTATTCCATTATTCCATGCTGTGCTGTCCAGGCGGTCGGCCTGCTTTGAACACTCCAATTTTTTCAAAGTAAACGTTTTGGCCGCGCTCGGCACTCAGTCAAGAGAACCGGGCGGAGACTGAGAGGAAGGCCAGGCGGGCAGACTGCTCGTCCGCGCCGCAGCTGCTGGGCCGCGGCGCCAGAGTCCTGCGCCCCTCTACTCTCGTTCGCCACCCGGCCGCCGCTCCCTCCGGCCCGCCGCCGGTCCCTCGCCCTCTCCGGCCCGGCCGGGGCGGCAATTCCTCTACTTCCCCGGGCGCCCAGGCGGCCGCTGGAATGCCGCCTGCTGTCCCGGTGCGCCGTCCTCTATCTCGTAGGGGGCGGCCGGGCGAGCCGGGGAGGCTGCAGCTGGCCGGGCTGAGCTCCCTCCGTCTGGGAGGTCCCCGGTCGGTGATCCTGCCTTCCGCCGCCGGGGCTACGGCTCGGCGCAACTGCAGGGCGCCGCCCACCGCCTGCTCGGTGAGCGTGCCGCGGGGTTGCGCGCGGCTCCGGCCGCGGGGGGCCGCTGCCGGCTCTCTGGGCCTTGGACGCCGCCGTGACGTTAGTGCACCTCGGGCTGCCGGGACCCGGTGGAAGTCGGGTGCCCAAGGGCGGGCCGGTCCTTCCGCTCCGCGGAAGCTGCCGGGCCGATCCGGACGTCGCATATATTGCTGCTCGGGGCAGCGGAGAGCCCACCGCTCTCCGAGGGGCCCTGGCTCCCCTCTCTCTCCCTCGCTATATCCCGCTCGCTCGTCCGAAGCGGGCCGGGCTGCCGCTGCAGCCCCTCCTGGAGGCTTGCAGCCACGCACCAGCGCACCTCCCGTCCCTCGGGAGCGGCCTTTCCGACACCTCTGGGCACTGTGGAGCGGGGCTTGTCCAGACCCCAGGTGGAATCGCTCCGGAGGCTTGGGCTCGACCGTGTAGGAAATGCCGTATTGTATGGACAATATATGGCTGTACTGATTTCTGGCAGCTCGAGCTGAGCTCAAGACCACCCTCCCCCCTATAAATAGGCAAACCAGGGAGTGGGGGTTAAGGTCTAAAATGCTGTCATTGAAATACGCACGTTTTGGGCCCAACATGTCCCGGCGCAAAGCCCTGTCAGAGGCCTTGGGTGGGCCGGCGAGCCGATGGACGGCAGGCCTGAAGGCGTCCGTCCCGCTCTCCGCGGGCAACCCCGGACATCCGAACCTCTCGGACCGGGTTTTCCGAAGAAGGCGATTCACCGCGCTGCACCACCCGCCCCGCCGGCCTGGAGCCGTTTTCGCCCAGGAAAGCGTGTCGGAAATGCACGGTTTTAGGGGGGCTGCGTGCGGCTACGGTTTTTTTTTCGCCAGGACGGCAATTGGCCGCGCCGCACCACCAGTCCCCGCTGCTCCGGAGCCGGGCTTGTCCAGACCCGAGGGGGAATCGCTCCGGAGCCTTGGGCTCCACCGTGTGGTAATGGCCGTATCGTATGGACAATATATGGCTGTACTGATTTCTGGCAACTGGAGCTGAGCTCGAGACCACCCTCCCCCTATAAATAGGCAAACGAGGCTCTCATTGAAATACGCACGTTTTGGGTCCAACAGATCCCGACGAGAGACGCTCTCGAGAGCCAGGGTGCCTCGCCAACGAGTTTGCAGGTGGGGACGAGTCGGTTTTTGCGCCCGAGTCGGTTCGAGACCGGAGATCCGACCTTTTGCGGACCACGAAGTCCAAGGAAGAAATCTTCAGCGGGCGCCCAGGCAACGCCGCCCGTCCAGCACCCACGGCGGGACCGGCGCCGCCCGCAGAGAGACTCTGTCCCCGGGCCGGAGGCCCGGGTCCCTCCACGCCCAACGGTCCGTCGCACGACGGCATTAGGACCGACTTGGCAACTCGCCACCCCAGTGCTACTCCTCCAGAGCCCTCCTGCGGGGTGTACTGCCAACCCTGGATTTCAAGTCAGTTTGGGGTGGCCCCCTCAGACTCGCGGCCCAGCAGCTCATCACGGGCCACCGCGCGAGCGCCGGTTCGATCTGCCGTCAGTCCCGGCTGGCCCTCCTCCGGCTGCGCCCGCTCCACCCAAGGGCCGCCAGTCCAGCACCACCTCCGGCCGTCCGTGCGACGGGGCCCTCCCGCCACTGGTCCTCCGGGCCTGCTCCGCCCGAGGGCCGCCGGGTGAGCGCCGGTTCATTCCGCCGTCAGTCAAGGCTTCTCCCCCTCCTCCTCCAGGTCCGGCCCGCCCGAAGGCCTCCGGCCGGCCGGCCCTCCACAACCCGCCGCCCCCGCCTCTCTGCCGCCACACAAGTGGCACCGCCACTCTCCCGGCAGCCGCCTCCCGCCGCCGCCGCCCATCCTCTGACCCGACCCGGCAGGATCTTCCCGTCTGCAGCGCGGGCAAATCCCTCGGATCGAAAGGTTTAGTTTCAGCAGATCGCAGCTGTCCTACTGGGCACGACACCCCGATCCATACCCAAGTCGTCTGCAAGTAATCTGGCGTCCCTCTCGAGACGGCGGTTCGGCTTCCGCCGGAGCTCCCGGCCCCCCCGGCAGGGGCCACGGGCTGAGTCGGCAGGGTCGGCCCGGCCCCCCAAGGCAAAGAGCGGGTGGGCGCTGACGCGGGCCGCCCTCGGGCAGGACGCCGGCGGTGTCCTGCCCGAGATTCGAGATTCCGACTTGGAGGCATTCAGCCGTAATCTCTCGGATAGTAGCCTCGCACCACCGGCCTCTCTCGCGGACGGCCCCGCGGTCCGGCGGGGGAGGGGAGCGCCGCCGCCCGGACACGGCGCGCCCGGCCGACCTCTGCTGGCCCGGCGCCCGCTCGCCTGGCCTGCGCCGGGGCACCGCGACCCGATTCCAGCCCCGGCCCGACCGACCAGCCCTCAGAGCCAATCCTTCTCCCGAAGTTACGGATCCGGCTTGCCGACTTCCCTTACCTACATTGTTCTATCGACCAGAGGCTGTTCACCTTGGAGACCGGCTGCTGTTATGGGTACGACCCCGCATTTTCAAGGGCCGACCGGAGCTCGCCGGACGCCGGCGGAGACGCGTCGCTCGACCGGGCCGTAGCCCGTAGCTCTGGACAAGCCGATTCCAGGGATCCCGCCCCTTAGCAAAAAAAGAAAACTCTTCCTGGGGCCCCGGCCGGCGTATGCGGGCTCGCTTGCTTCGCAGCTTGGACTGCCGTGGAGGACGGAGGGCTTCGCCTGTGGGTTCGGGAATATTGACCCGATTCCCTTTCGCACGGGGGCGAGGCCCCGGCCCCGCTCAGAGTGGAACTTCCCTGGGGCTTAGGATCGACTGACCCATGTACAACTGCTGTTCACATGGAAGCCTTCTCCGCCACTTGGCCCTCGAGGATTTCATTCGAATATTTGCTACTACCACCAAGATCTGCGCCTGCGGCGGCTCCACATGGCCTCGCGGCTGGCACTTCGACGCGCACCGCGGCGGCCCTCCTACTCGTCGGGGCGTACCACCCGGGCGGCGGTCCCACTCGCTCTCTGTCCCAACGGCCGGGTGTGGGCGGCACGTTCAGCGCCATCCATTTTCAGGGCGAGTTGACTCGGCATGTGAGTTGTTACACACTCCTTGGCGGATTCCGACTTCCATGGCCACTGTCCTGCTGTCTGTACCAACCAACGCCTTTTCTGGGCTCTGATGAGCGTCGGCCGCAATGCGGCGCCCCAACCCGGCGCCCGGTTCATCCCGCAGCGCCGGTCCTGTTTACTAAGAATGGCCCACTGGGCGCCCGTGCATTGAGGGCCCGGCCCCGAGCCGGCGGGTCGGGCCCCGCACGAATTTAAAGTTTGAGAATAGGTTGAGGTCGTTTCGGCCCCAAGGCCTCTAATCATTCGCTTTACCGGATGCAACTGCTCTCTCTCTCTCTCTTTCCCGGGCGCCAGCTATCCTGAGGGAAACTTCGGAGGGAACCAATTAGTCTTTCGCCCCTATACCCAGTTGGAAGATCGATTTGCAGGTCAGAATCGCTGCGGACCTCCGCCAGAGTTTCCTCTGGCTTCGTCCTGCTCGGGCATAGTTCACCTTCTTTCGGGTCCTAGCGTGCCTGCTCTTCCGGGCTGGCGGCAGGCCGCCGCGCGGCCGGATCCCGCCCTGGCCGAGCCCTGGCCGGCCTACACTCTCGGTGCGCCTCGGGGCTTTGCCTGGCGGCCCCCCGACTCGTGGGCCCGATAGACTCCTTGGTCCGTGTTTCAAGACGGGTCGGCAGGACTCGCGACAATCGTCCGTGGACCCGAGGCGCCTCCGCGCCGCCGACACCGACCCGGCCGGGGACCACCGGCCAGCCGCCACCGGGGGCGGTCACGGCGAACTGGGCCCTCCGGAGGGCCGGGAGGCCCAGCCCAGCGTCCCTTCCTCGGCCTTGCGGCCGGCGCGACCACGGCCGGTCTCTAGGCTCTCCGACCGCCCCCCCGTCGGGGGACCGGGGTTGCCGGAGGAACCCCAACCGGCCGGGCTATGCTGGCCCGGATGCCCAGCCGGTCGCGGGCGCCGCGCCCGGGAGAAGTGCACGCGGCCGGGCCTCAGAGGCTCCCCTTGGCCCCGTCCCATGGCTAGGGGGGTGCGGGGCCGCGGCGGGCACCGCGCCGGCCGCTGCGCCGGCCGCGCTGAATCTCCCGGGCCCGATCTGTGCGGCCCTCCCGTTTGCTTCTCGACGGCTTCACGTACTCTTAAACTCCCTCTTCGGAGTGCTTTTCAACTTTCCATCATGGTACTTGTGCTCTATCGGTCTAGTGCCGATATTTAGCCCTGGATGGAGTTTACCACCCGCCTTTGGGCTATGAAACAAAACAAGGGAGATCCCCGGTCGGGGATCCTGCCTTCCGCCGCCGGAGCCGCGACCCGGCGCGACCGCGGGGCGCCGCCCGCCGCCTGCTCGGCGTTCTGCAGGGTTGCGCGCGGCTCCGGCTGCGGGGGGTCGCTGCCTGCTCTCCTGGCCTGGGACGTCGCCGCGCGACGTCGGTGCGCCTTGGGCTGCCGGGACTCGGCGGAGGGGGCTGATTGGGGCAGCGGAGAGTCCGCCGCTATTCGAAGGGCCCTGCCCCCTCTCTTTCTCTCTCTCTCCCGGTTGCTCGTCCGCAGCGGGCCGTGCTGCCGCTCCAGCCCTTGCTGCGGGGTTGCAGCCACGCACCACGGCACCTCCCGGCCCGGGGTCCGGCCGAACTGGGGCCCAGGAGCAGCCTTCTGGACACCTCGTGGGAAGGCCTGGCGGGCCGGCCGACGCTCTCCTGAGCATGAGGGGTCGACCGGCCGCGTCAAGACCCGAGGGGGAATCGCTCCTGAGCCTTGGGCTCCACTGTGTAGGAATGGCCGTATTATATGGACAATATATGGCTGTACTAATTTCTGGCAGCTTGAGCTGAGCTCGAGACCACCCTCCCCCCTATAAATAGGCAAACCAGGGAGTGGGGATAAGGGTCCAAAATGCTCTCATTGAAATACGCACGTTTTGGGCCCAACCTGTCCCAGGGCAAAGCCCTCTCAGAGGCCTTGGGTGGGCGAACCGATGGACGGCAGGCTGGAGACCCCCGGCCCGCTCGGCCGCATGGAACACCGGACATCCGAACCTCTCGGACGAGGCTTTCCGAGAATGGCAATTCACCGCGCCGCAGCAACTGCGCCACCGCCCTAGAGTTGGGTTCGCCCGGGGAATCGCTCCGGAGCTTGGCGATCGATTGTGTCGGAAATGCACGGCTTTAAAGGGTCTATGTATTTTTTTTTATTATTTCAATTGATAAAGTGTTTCTACCTTAACAATTTTTTGCTTATTTTACCTTGGTTGCACCGCCTTGATTTCAATGAAAAAAAATAAAAACATGTTTGAGGGGTGACCAACACGCCCCGCCTATCTCCTCATTAACATAAGAATGTGTGAAGTAAACTCCAGAGATCGGCATACTTTCCCGGTTATGCGTGGCAGCTTGATCGGCAGCGTCACACGTACTTCTTGTAAAGTTTCTTGAGAATTTCACCGCACTCCTTCATAATCGCATGGTGATGTGATCGTTTTGTACACGTTTTGTTATGCAAGGTACACTTCATGTACAGTATATACGCGTGTATGGGGGCTGGGTGCGTACACGTGGCTACCGGGTGGGTGCGTGCGTGTACATGTATATTGAACGACATATCGTGTGCTTACACCATAGAGCTACAAATCTTACACGTACGTGTACACGGATACATGTACATGTACATCATGTCTTGTAGTTTTACATGTACACACGTACTTCACGAAGGACAACTATTCGCACTGTCCATGCTGGCGACTGCCCCAAATTCAATTTTGGTTGTTTATTCTGTTGATCTTAAAGCTAGAAACACTGTACAGACATAGTAGCCTAC